TCAAGAGCAGTGGCTGACAGACCTCCATTACTGCTTCAACATCTACCTTGCCTCTCACCCCCAGGGACCTGGCCCGATGAACGCGGTGTATTAAAGAGGTCGAACTGCATTTATTGTAAAGCATTTACTTCTATTTAGTTTTGAAGGGAAGATGTTGGAACAAAGCTTGTCAATTTTTTTGTAAGTGAAACAGAATAAAAATTTTACAAAGAACCACGTACCTCTGTTGCCTTTCCTTTCAAGCGAGTAGATATCACTGGAGGTTGGTTTAGGAGAGGTGGTGACCACAGTGAGGGGTGTTAAAGACAATCCTGTCTCCTTGAGGCTTAAGTGCTTGCACAGAACCAGACTTACACTGACTCCAATCATCTATTATTTTGAAGCATCATATTCATTACAAAACTTAGACTTATGTAATAGCAACTAGAAGAAAAAATAGAAACCAATATACTTTGAAACTAGAGTAATGTTTGGTTTTATTTTTGCTGAGTTCATATTTTTAAATACTTTGTGCAAGGTAAACACTGTACATGGCAGCTCCCAGGTTTTCTTCTAGAACAGGTCCCATCTTTTCCTGCTTCCTGTAGAAACTCTGTTTGTGCACATATAAAAATAGCTAAGATGGAAAAAACTGGTGATAATCTCCAAGGGGAGAAAACACACCCCTAACAATCTCCATAGGGTGTAGAAAGCAGTTTAGTTACAGAGTGGGTTTTATCAACATCTCTGCTTTTCCTTCCAGATCCACAGCTCGCTAAGACCCAATGGTTTCTTTAGTACAAAAGTGGAGCACGAAGGCTGCTCTGCTGTTCCTGGTGAGATTTTGAAATACACTTAGTAAATCTGAGGAGAAACAGAACAGCGGGTCGTTCAGAACTGTTACAGCTGTAGTACAGTTTCTCCCTCCTTTGAAACTGCGTTTGGTGAACCCATTCACAATTCCTCCTTTTGACAACAAAAACTTTGTGAGCCCCACCAGCTCTAGTGTAATGCTGGGCTTAGGGCTTCACTTTCTGTTCCCCAATGCAATTCAGATTGTCCCTGTCAGTAAATAAATTAACAGTTGCATTTAAAAACTAATTTGTACAGAAAATAAAATGAGTCCAACTCCTTACAAGTCTGCTTGGCCTGGAATGCTGGGAGAATACAAAACTGAAAACGTCTTCAAGTTCAATGCGTTGTAGATGGCTTGTATGTTACGAAAGAGAAGAGTTGTACCGGAGTATGCTTTTTAAATTCCAAAGGTTCAGTTTTACTTAGTGCTTGAGTCTTGTATTTTTGGATTTTGCAGCCGTGGTTGGTCTCATATTGTATGAAAATTGCTTTGATTTCCCCATGTTCTCCAGCAAATTAACACACTGTAGGTTGTTTACTGTAAAAGAACAAAATGGGTTTGATGAGTAACTAGTGGATAAAAAGACATTTAATCCACACTGCATTCTAGATTTCGGAAACAGCGAATCTACCAGAGAAGAACATGCCTTTTGCCTGGCACCTACCTCACTGTTGATTATCTGTAGAGTTGGGTTCCTGTGGCAGGACACTGTTTAACGCAGCCTGCGATAACGGAGCTTAACTGGAGGTTTACCCTCATAAACGAGTGAAGCTTTTCCAGGCTGATGGTTCAGTCACAAAGTAACGCAGCAAGAGATTTTGTTGAGCAATATTTAGCAATAAGAGGTAGTGGGTCATTTCTAGGAGGGAGGGGAAGCTAGCCCAGGGCTACAGCGAGTACACTCTGAATGACGAGAAAGCAAAAAATGAACCTCCGCTGGGCCTTCGCTTGAGTTTTGAGTCTGGCTGAGTGTCTGGACTCATTCAATGTTTTTATTTACAGTACTGCGCTGCAAATCACACCCGGGTGTGCCTTTCCTGGTTTGGTAGGGATTGGATGCAAACAGTTCGGTGCTTTATCCTGTTCTAGCCAGGGTCATCCCCAGCGCAGACCTGAGCGTTTCATTGAGGGGGTGAACCCAGCACAGCTTAAGGATTTCTTTCTAATACCAAGAATTGCAAAACCTCCTCCTTCACAGCTCTGTAAACACACTTTAATGGCCAGAAATGAAAAAAAAAAAAAAAAAAGGGCTGCAGAGAGCATCTTTTCATGTCATTTACTGAATTGAGAAAAGGCAGGTATTTAATTAAAAGAAAATCTATTACAAAAGGAACAACTTTCAGGTTCCGAAATGGTTTAATGGTAATGCTCATACAGGCCCTGTTTGCCAGACTATTTCGAAGCACCTAGCCCATGTCTGTATGTCACAGTACAGACTCCTTGTCTACCCATCATCCTCTGCCTCCCCTTACTGA